CAGCCAGCATGGCTCATTTTGGCTGAAGTTTAGATGATTAATAAACCGGTTTCTCAACATTAATTAGATATTTCAGGAGATTTCGATGGCTGCTGATGTTACATCAAACCTCCTGAAGTCTGGACTGTTTGTCTCCCTGCTTGTCGTGTTTTTCAGAGTCTGTGGATAGAAAGGACGACTCTGATCCTCACCCACCCTCTGCCCGGGATTTCCCGCTGGTTTGAGGTGGAGAAGAGAGAGCTGGTGAGCACATGAAAGAGATCTGTAAAGATAAACAGGATCCATAAACTCACAACAATCTGTTATGATATATTCTACGAAGTAATCTGAGCGTCTCTCACTTTGGCTCCTCGTCGCTCTGCGTCTCTCTCTCAGGTGGAGGTGAGCCCGTTAGAAAACGCCATCTCTGTGGTGGAGAATAAGAACCAGGAGCTGCGCACTTTGATCAGCCAGTACCAACACAAGCAGCTGCACGGCAACATCAACCTGCTCAGCATGACGCTGAACGGGGTCATCGACGCTGCTGTTAACGGAGGCATCGCCAGATACCAAGAGGTCAGACAGACAGTGAATTTCATGTCATCGGCCCGCGTGAGGCTGAGTCACAGCAGTAAAATCTTACAGCGCATCACAGTGGGCAGTTTCATAGGCAGGTGAAGGAGGGGCCACAATATGATTAAACCACTGTTATTTTATCCACTCATAGCATCACAAACGGTCCAGAATGCACTAACCTCAGTGATATGTTAGAGTTTCCTTTTATAAACAAAAGTACAGAACATGTATTTTATTACAAAGCACAGCAGTTTGTCATCCGTGCGCATAATCTCTCTGAATCTGTGCGAACAAAATATGTATAAAATGGACTAAAAATGTTCATTTCTATAAGGTTTGGTGTTTTGGGCTGATGTAATGCCACAGTACTGCTCCATAAATTTGACTTTGCTTTTTTCCTTCGTTTGCAGGCTTTCTTTGATAAGGAGTACATCACGAGCCACCCTGAAGACACTGAGAAGATCACACAGCTTAAAGACCTGATGCAGGAGCAGGTGAGATGTTGTTTGCTGACGTTCCTGCAGAGCTTTAATAACACAGCTCTGCCTTTTTGTCCTGAGATGCCAAGTAGACCAAGTTGGCTCCATATACTCAAATTAAAGCTCTATATGTGCTTCCACTGATGCACATATAGAGCTGTAAGTGTGTTCAGATAGAACCATGTGGAGAATTTGACCTTTAGCGTGAGACAAATGTCACGATGACCAGATTGAAGGAAAACCTCAGAATCCTGTAATAGTTGAATCTATAGTTTTTGTTTTCATATATCTGCATGCAGACGTTATCATTCATGCTTTCACTGAACTGAAGGAAAGAAAATGACCATTAACAACAACTCTTTGTTTTTTATAGTGTATCTGTTAACAAAATAACAATGTTTAAGTTTAATCAGGATATTTCATGGATACAAAACAAGAAAGAAATGAGTGATTAGCCCCGTGGCCATTAATAGTCACCGGGCTGTCAGGCTGTGATGTGCTGCTCTTTTTCAAAACGAACATTCACATGTTAATATTTTTGGCAACAATACTTTTAACTATATTTGATATAAAGACTAAAAATGTATTTTATATTACAAAATGTCCCAAAAGCTACAGGTTTGGTGAATCTTTGATTATATCAAGTTTCATCAATTCTGCAAAAATTGGGAAGAAGTTTAGCAAAATGCTCCATAATTCCTGGGGGGCTAATACTTTCAGCCCCAGCTGTATGAATCATACAACCACACAGCTGATAGGAGGAGATGCCCCCTAACCTCGCCCCCTCTCCCATGTCAGATTATTTCGATCCAGTAGAAAAACATTTGTTGACATGAAGCAGGCAAAAGTAAAGCAGGTGAAACACGTGCATTAAGTTTTCCAAAGGAAGGATTTGTCTGTAGACCAACGTGAGCAACAACCTGGTCTTCATTCTTGCTCATACTAACAGGGTTCTTCATCTCATCCGCTGATGTTTTTAAAAACTGGTTTTCACACAGGTTCACATCCTGGGAGTCGGTCTGGCTGTGCACGAGAAGCTGGTGCACCCAGAAATGCGTCCCCTGCACAAGAAGCTGATAGATCAGTTCCAGATGATGAGGAGCAGCCTCTGCCATGTGAGCGCACAAAATAATATAATATTACAACCTCAGGAGGTACAAATACGTACGTGGAGCTGTTGTTAGATGTAGCTCATGAACCAAAATGAACCAGTGTAGAAGAAGATTCATTACGGTGTAAACATGCTGGAAGGATGGATGGATTCGTTTCTTCTTCAAAGAGCATGTTAGTGTGCACCAAGCTTAGAGACTACGTCACTGCAAAGAATCTCGTTGAACATTTCAGCTCTGTTCATAGTTTAGTTTTCCAGGCATTATTTGACTGTTCCAACCAGTGATTCTTCTGTCTGTGTGGACACCCGAGGGCAGTGTGAATATTCAGAGCAGTGCTTCTATGTGTCTCTGCAGGGTCTGCCTGGTTTAGACAAGTCCGGTTCAGGGCCCAACACACCCAGAGGAATCCTGGCCACTCACGGCCCCATGAGCCCCGAGAGCTTCAAACTGATGCACCGACACAGGTCAGCAACACACAGAGACCTTTTTAAAGTGCCCGTTAGACTCTCCTGCTTTAATCTTATTCAGCTACACCCTGATACACTCCTCAGTCTGCACCACCATGTCATCAAAACCTCATTCAGGGTATCTAAACATGTTGAAAAGGTTTTAAAAAATCCTCAAAGTCAGTTTCTTCTAAGTCTGCATAGAGGGTCGGGTCAAAGGGGCACGGATCAAGAGAGACAAAGCAGCCTCCACCCTTCCCTCTAAAGCTGTCACTGCCCTTCTAAATACAAGAAATCAAATCATATTCACCGAGTTTAGCTCCACTCCTCGGATTGGGTCTGCGGCCCAACCAGGCAAAGCTCCGGTTCTGGGCTTAGGACGAGTGGTGGCCTCAGAGGAGCCTCACTGGAATAAGAGATCACCGACGGGTAGTTTGGGAGCGCTTCATGCCCCCATAAAGAGGCGTGTGAGGTGGCTGGGTCGAGTGAGGTCTGGGTATCACTCCAGGTTCTGTCCTGGTTGTCTCCACATCTTCTGCTGTGCTTCGTTGCATTTGATAGTGTTACTGCAGATATATAAAGCAGAAAAGAATCCATTAAATCACTAATAATCCTCGTTAATCACTTTCATCTTATTCTTCATTGAAACTGTTAAATGTGGTGAACACGGCAGAAACCATCCTTCACAGTCAGCACACGTCTTCTCACTGGCTTCACCTCCATCTGTGGTTCACCTGCTGTGTCTCATTAATGATCTTTGAGAAGTTCCTCGCAGCATCTCTGCTGTCCTCTGCTCACATCGCACTCTCTGAAAGTCTGCCATTTTCTCTTTCTCTCCTTCATCCTTCACCGACACCACCGTGATCGTGCTTCCTGCATCGTGCTTCCTGCATCGTGCTTCCTGCATCGTGCTTCCTGCATCGTGCTTCCTGCATCGTGCTTCCTGCATGCTCATGGCTGACCATCGCTCTCATTCTCACCGCATCACCTCATGCATGCCGGCTGTTTGGCTTTTGCTTCTTCTTTTTTGGTTTGCTCGGCCCTTCCCCTTCCTGCCTTCCTTCCTTCCTTTTCTTCTACCTGGAATTTCCCTCTTCTCCCCCCGCCCTCTTTCCCTTTACCCTCCCTGTTTCCTCTCCTCTTTTTTCCTCCTTTCGTTCCCTCCTCCCAGTCCCGTAGCTGTTCTGACTCCTGTGCGCAACTCCTCCTCCTCTCTCTCCTCTCACAACTCCAGTGAGATGGGAAACGTTGGCAATCTGCTGATCCTGGCTGACGGCATGGTAGTGGAACACCCCGAGGACTTCTACCGCATGCAGGTCAGTGAAAAACGCGATTCGCAGAGAGGAAACGCACTTGTTGCAAGAAACAAGAAACACTCCATATATCACACATGAATACAAAACTCTGTAATATTATCATGTCCAGCTTTTTCTGCACAGCTGAGCATCACTGCTCGAATACCTCACATTATTCTAATCTATATGTACAATACTGCGTTCGAATTTCTCCGAACTGCAGGCGAGCCTGTCCTCCTCCAGTCTTAGCTCCACCCACTCTGCACCTTCTCAGATGATAAACTCCGCCCCCTCAACCATCAGAGGTGAGCGGCCCATGGCAGCTTTTTAAAACTATATTTAGCTTTCTGATATTTCGTATTTCACACATCTCTCACTTCTGTAATCTGTCCGTCTGCAGTCGGCTCTCCGTCTCTGCCTGACAAATACAGACACAACAGAGAGATGCTGATGCTGCTGCCGCCGCACAGAGAGAGGCCGAGCAGCGCGATGTACACCAACATCACAGACAATGGACAGGTAAAGCAGTGGAGGGGGATCCTGAACGACAGCAGTGACAGTTGTCGGACGAATCTGATTTATTAGAAGTTGCAAGTACGTCACATGCAGAGGGTAACGCGGGATTTGACAGGAGAGGAAACTGGAAGCTCTTGTTTTGTGCACAAAGATTAGTTTTCTTTGTGCTGCACTGTGATCAGCTGACCTGTGATGCTGCAGGTGCTTTTCATGGATTCAACCTACCTTCAGATATTCTTCTAAATATTTTCGAATGCAATCATGTTCAGTTCTTTACTGAGCTGAAGACGGATTAAAGTCTGATTCAGGTGATCGCTGTGGTCCTCTCTAACGAGCTCATGGTCTCCTCCTCAGCCACCAAACTTCCAGCGGGCTTTGTTCCACCAGGTGATCGGTCCATGCAAACCCTGCAGCGACCCAAACCTCTCTGTGGCTGAGAAAGGTCGGCACACACACACACACACACACACAC